TCACTGATCTGCTCAGAGCCCAGACAGCAGCTGGGTTTTTTTCTGACTGTGCCTGTAATGATGTATAATATCTAAAACACAGAATGTAATGAAGATCTGGCGCCTCCTGCTAATCTACTTATTTCTCACCATCTTGGAGTTCCCGAATCTTTGAAATATGCATTGTATTTTAAGCGGTTGTCACATGCTGTGCATGTAAAAGTAGGAAATATGACTGTGACGTGAATTTCAAGTCTTGTTTCAAATGCACTGATCAATATGCTTGTGTCGACTTCACTGTAATGTGCGCTGGTTCCTCTGTGTTCTGATCTGGTGTCCGAGTCTCAATCAAACGCAAGCTCTTATCAGCCCCATCCATTCACACCAAGTGTGATTAATAACGGAAAATGTCAAGTGCTTCCATTTCAGAGTGCCTGTTATCAGATCTGTTGTTACTGTTAGATGTTACCGTTCACGTTTGCTAGCCCAAGACATCTCAGGAATCCAGACCGGACAATATTTTACGGATATGTCAAGAATAAAGAGTATATGTATCCATGTCACCCAGTTAGGGTGATATTAAATGACTTAACCCGTAATATAAGATTTTGACGAGTTATGAATGAATGAAACACTTTTTTCCATGTTCACTCCATCTCGAATCGCGTTCACGGACGAATCTAAAACATTATTCCATGTTAAATGGCTAAGCCATTGATTTGATGTAAAATGTTATAGTAAGACATGGTGACAACATGAGAATGAAAATAATGAAGCAAAATGCTCTGGATTTCTCAGAAGCTGGAGTGCACAATACACAGAAGTAAGATACAGGAAGAACGAAACACCACTTCCGGTGAGGTGTAAAACTTTTGCCCGTTTGTGGTCAACTGTAGACTTGGGTTCAAGCAAAATGATGATTGCTGAAGTACTGCATCAGCATGTGCTTTACTGTGATTCTCACTTTCAGATTACTGCAGGAACATTTTAATTTTAACACGATACAGCTAAGAATTACACAATCATAATCCTTGGAAGTCAAACTCATAACTGAAAATAAAATGAATTGCACAGCCCTAAAGTGCAAGAGTTTTATCCGGTGGGAAAGGGTCTGAAATGGTTCTTTTGATGTTGAAGGTTGCAGACCCCTGCCCTCGGTGTTTGCAGGCCTGGAGAGTGTCACGTAAATTTGCCTTTTCCTGTTTTCGGGCTTTTACTATGAATTTATGCATAGTGTCCACGAGGTAGCACTTAACCATGTGTTGCTTAAATGACTCTTCAGTACGTCGAGACAAAGGAGTTCTCTTTTCCCTTGATTGGATTAGCTACTATCATGTTGAGATGAAACTAATCCAGACAATGAGGGTGTTGTCAGTTTTACGATCTCGTGATGGCTGTGTGGGGGAGTCTTTAGATCCTGTTTTGGGAATTTGTTTATTCTGCAGCTTTTTGGTGGGTCTGTTCCGCAGAGGCCTTACACAATGAAGAACAAAATAAAAAATAAATCTCAGTCTCTCTTAAAAGTGTTACAGTCTCTTCTTCAGCTTCCTGAACAAGAACAGTTTGTAAAAACTTCTACTTTACTTCATGAGAGAGTAAGCAAACTACAAGTGACACATATGCATTATAAGACAATTGAACATAATATGAAACTCATAAACTAGCACAATGACATAATTTATATCATGAAGCAAAATGAAATACAAGAATACAACTTTTGGACATTGTTCTTTGGGGAGGAACTCCATCTTTGAGTTGATCTGAATCTCACAG